TTTAGGATATTTCCACTTAACTTTTTTTTATCTATCCACTTAATAAAATTATGTTTTCTTTTTAACAATAAAACAAAATCAAATAATAAATATATAATAAAAATGATGAAAATCTATGGTTTTTATGAAAAGTTTCATGTGAAAAACTATATGTTTTATGAAATATAGCAAAGTTTATATCATTAATGGTTATTATTTTTGTAGTCTATATGTTATTTTACTTTTTCATGATTTATGCATATCTATAAACGAAAAAGGAGCTGATGTCGACAACAAACTTGCCGAGAAACCAAAAAGCAAGCCAACAAGAAAAACAAAAAATCGACCATAACAATACCTTACACCGATCATAAATGCTACTCATATTAATATGTATATAATATATAATTTTATATTTTATTAATTACTAATATGTTATAAATATATACCATTTGTAAGTTTTGGTTTGTGAGTAGAATACCGGAGCTATTTGTACAATTATGTTACTGCATAAAACATAACTTTAATTCATCAACTTCGTAATTATACGCCACCTGTAATTTTTTCATTTATAAAATAATATTTTTCATCTATACTTTTTAAAATATCATTTTTATCTCTCTGTCTTCAACTTTATAAAATATCACTTTCACTCATTCATCTTTTATCCATCAACTTTATATAATTCATCAGTTGCAACCCCTTTATTTTATAAAATAATATATTTTATCATTTTACTTTTTAAAATATTACATTCACCTGCTACTCCTCCTTTAACTGTGTAAAATATTATTTTTATTTTCTAAACTTTCGTGTTTATCGTCGCCCCATAAAATATATAATATGGTTTTTTCTTATCTATTTTTATAATACACAACAAAAACACGTAAAAACCCATGATAAAATATTGATATTACTAGTTATATATAATATATCAGGGTTGTCAAGATTTGAATCTTACGTAAACTCGTTTTTGGGTTTGCAAGATTGGGATCGGGATCCTAATATCCTACAAAATAAAATATAACTTTATTTTATAATTTTTAATCGTGAAAAATATTTCAAACATTTAATTTTTGGTTCAAAAGTTATAAAAACTTCGAAATATTAATCATAAATCACAACACAAAATAATAAACGTTAAATTGGTAAATGGTAAAAAAAAAACATAAAGTAGTAAAATAAAATTCAAGAGAATGTTGGATCGGATCTCAATCCTACCTACGATCTTACGATCCTACCTACGATTCTATCTTAAATACGATCTGGATCGTTTTTCATATATAAGATGGTAGGACCAGAATCAAAATTTTGACAATGTAAAAACTTTACATACCGATAGTCACGATACACTACTACATTGTCTAACTGGGCTTTTACAGATTTGCCCTAGCTTGTCCCTCATCTGCTCAATCTAACCGATCAGCCCCTCACGCTCCTACTTGAAGAATCGAACTCCGGTCACCGGCCATCGGTCCACCACACCTTCGTCGGCTTTTACAGGCTGCGACTTCACTTTCTCAAGCTGCGCGGCCCCATCTTCTCAAGCTGCAACTCCGACACCATCTCCGGCTGTGACTGAATTCGAGGCTAGACAAGGTAAATCAGTTTTTGTCTCTGTTTTTTTTTTTTTTTTTTTTTTCCTACTTTAGCACCAGGTAACTTCAAATTTAGTTTTCGTCTATTCCTAATAACGCAACCTCAAGCAACCATGACCACCGCAAGCAACGGATATATGAAGATGGAGGATGGGTTTCCGGTAACCAGACTCTTCAACCAAGGATACTCTTTCACCTACGACAACGTTATCTTCCTCCCTCATTATATCGACTTCTCAACCGACTCCGTTCAACTAAACACAAAACTCTCTCGTAACATAAACCTCTCTATCCCATGCATCGCCTCTCCAATGGACACAGTCATCGAAGCATCCATGGCTGTTTCAATGGCCGCTTTAGGTGGTATAGGAATCATCCACTCCAACAACACCGCATCTGAACAATCATATATGCAAAAGAACGTGGTAACATTGCCGAATACGTGTAACCTTGAAGATGTTGCTGTGTATGGTATATACTAATATCAAAAACCTTTTTTCAAATATCATTTTTTATTTTTTTTTTAATTTTGGTCCCAAAAGGTTTTTATCTTGCAATTTTGGTCGTTAGCTTGAGAGATTTTTGTAATGTTTTAGGTCTAGGTAAAATAACTATATTTTTGGTTCAAAGTTGTGAAATTCGCAAATAAATAGGGACTCAAAATTGTCATTAAAGAACATTATCCCTATTTTTTTACTCTAAGTAATCAAAGTAGGGTAAATTATACTTCCACCATTTTGTAGATTAAGCTGTTTATTTGTTTTTGAGTAAGTTATATTTTGAATTTTGGTGGGTATTTGGTAGGTGTTTGTAGCATTTTTTTATCCTTGTTTCGATTCAAGTAAAATAATATATATTTGGGACCAAAATCAGCTATACTTAAGGACCAAAATTATAAGTTACTCTACTATTTTGATTCAACTGTTTTACCTTTTTACTTTTTAGCATTATTATTTTTCTTGGTTACCCATTTTTAATATCTCGACTTTTATTCAGGTACGAATAGGAGCAGCACAGGTGGAAGGTGGAGTTCACGGCCTTGTGTCTTACGAAAAGAAATCCTCTAACCACATTCACATTCACATTCACATTCATTGTTAAGTTAGTTATCCAATGCACAAGCTCTTCTTGCAATTGACTTAATTTGGGCTGCTTACTTATTCTGAAACATATGCTGACGGATTAAGTTTGTATCAAAATTTGCTTTATTGCATAAAGTTGATGAGACTGTTCATATATAAATCTTAGTTCACCAAAAGTTGTGATATGATCAAAATCATGTTATGTGTATTCCTTTGAACAACACGAGATTGTTATCAAGCAAAAACTAGCATCGACTTATCCTGCAACAATACAAATTACAAGAAACTAGAGATGTATGTAAAAAACTAATACAAATTACAAGGTTAATTGGTAATATATTATATAATATATGCTAAAAAGTTAAAATAAAGTGCAATTTGAGTTATCGTTAAGTATAAGAGCTCACTTAACATTGAAATCATGGAAGTTTAATATGTGTACAAGATTGGATATAGTCTTCATTGCATTATGTTAGGCAAAGACATGGATGAATTGAATGAGAATATTTTTGGATCAATTTTTCATCGTACATAGTACTAATATTATCATGTTTTTTTTATGTAGTTATATCTTCAAAGGGTAAAAGATCATATGATGACGCTCAACAAAAAGAGTGATTGAATTTCCTTGCTACCATGTAACTAACATTATATCTTAGCTTATACTCTCTTATGTTTTAATGGTTTTTTAATTTTTGAATAAGTAATGATTTTGGTTGTTTACTAGCAAAAAGAGTTTTGGTGATAAGTTTTATGGGATGAAAGAAAGATAAAATTCTAGAAGACAAAAATATTAAGCTTTCTTGTTATATTTAACTTTAGAAAATTGTAAAATTTGGTAATTTTAAGATATTTATTGTTAATTACCAATGATCTGACCTTTTTAAGATGATATTTGTTTATGATTTAAGTTATTGTCGTATACCTTAAGTTTATTGCTTGGTTTTTAAGGTTTAATGGTTTGTCTTAGGTTTTGTTTTTTGAACTCGTAACTTCTTCATACAAAACTCGGATTTTAATGATCATTATATCCACACATTTGTATTTGAGTCTACAACTTTCATTAAGATTAACCCTATTAAAAAGTAATATACTTTTATTTATGGTTTTATAAAAAAGCACTTTCATATTCATAAAGAACGCATCGACATAAATATTGTAAGTAAAAATATTATTTTTTATAAAAAAACGTTTATATGCATGCTTTCTTTGTGAAGTTATGAAGGTTTATTTTATAAAACTGTAATTAAAAATATATTACTTTTTAATGAGAGTAATCTTAATGAAAGTTGTGATAGACTCAAATACGAACGTGTGGATATAAAGATCGTTAAAATCTAAAAACGTATGAAGAAGTTACGGCGTTCAGAACACAAGATGCGAGACACCTCGACCTCAAAGACCAAAAGACGGCTAAAGTAGTGAAGTGGTCGATTCGTAAAAAATATAAGTTAAAACCGCAAATGAAATTTCGATGTTATGTTTTTTTTTCACTTCATGTTTTTTTTTTTAGATTGTTAATATAATTTTTAATTTCATGTTATTTTTTACTTTTAGGATTTCTAAAATGTAATTTTTCATTTTAGTACGAGCTTGTGGTTTTTCATGTTGTCAAAGAGTTGAATAATGGTTTTTTTCGTGTTATTAAAAAGTTGAACAATGAAAATAGATGACGAATGCCCAAATGAATTGATTGGGTCATGTAGGTACAATGTTCAAATCTACTGGTTTGTTGATGAGGCCATTCGATCAACCGGCTCAACCAGATGCGGAAGGGTGGCGGTTTTTAAAAAAAGATGCTATTTTTTATTGAAAATAAAGAAAAAAATCAAAGCAAAAAACTCATAGGTAAACCATTTATCACACACTAGTCTTAAAGACCTTTTTTTTTTTTACAAAATGTCCTTCCCCAAAAAAGACTTTTGATGTTCAAAAGTAATCCCAAACACCCCTAAAGGTCACCATTGGAAATGTTTTTCGGTCAAATATTATTAACCAAAATTTATTAAATGTTTTTTTTAATGTTTTGAATTTTATACAATTAACCGCTTTATTTAATAATATTAATTATATAATTAATCATATATTTATTCTTTGTTGATTTGTTTCACTTGTTTGTTGTTTTTTATACTATTTCTATTGTTTTTTTTATTTTACAACAATATTACATAATAACTTTATCATCTTTTATATTTTAAAATAATAATAATATGGTCATCTTTTTGATTTTCCAATATTGTAATATATTCATTTCATTAAAACTAATAGTCAAATAATATTTACTTTTAAAAATATAGCATTCACTTAAAAAATCACAAAAAATCACAAATCAGACAAGAGGAGTGTTTATAAAAATAAAAAAAAAAAACATTTCACAAAGATACGAATAAAACTAAGATAATTTCAAAAATATCTTGTGGAAATGGTTTATGAAAATAATTTATTGCTATATAAAGTTACTCAAAATCTGATGTGACAAAATGTAAAAGCTTCGGGTGAGGCCAATGCCGCTTCTTGTAAATCATGAAAATGCTCTTAGCGTTCACATATTTACTCAACGACAATAGTGAATTACAATCATTAAGAAACTATTAACCTTACCTCACTTTTTCTCTTCAAGATTAATAGATCATGTAGCTACAACCAACTTCTTATGCGTGAAGTTTGATTTCGGTTTTGACACCGGCCCTTGCCCTAAAAATAATCACATAGATGTCAGTTGCTATCTGTTATCTGCTATCTGTTATCTGTTTGGATGAAGACTAACCAAAATCTTTCTCGGATTTCTTACGGCTGCGCCATAAAAGACGAATTGGAGTACCGGAAAATCCAGCATCGGATCTTAATTGTTTCTCCATGTAACGGCGGTATGTTTCAGGGAAAAGCTTTGCATCATTCACAAAGAAAACAAATGTAGGTGGCCTAATAGCTGCCTGTGTTTTTCAGATATTATATTTTTATGTTTCACTATTAATAATTTAAAAAAAAAAAAATTACAATTTTCAAATAGAAAAATGATTGAAATACCTGAGTGCAATAATAGAGGCGTCCTCTTTTTCCACCTCTAGTCCTTGGAGGTGATTTAAAAGCTAAAGCTTCATGAACGACTTGATTCAAAGTGGCTGTGCTAAGCCTTCTTGATCTCTCGCTTTCAACCGCACTTGCAGCAACAATGATTCTGAAATTCCATTTCCAATTCCAATTTCCATTACAATTAAATATTTAAAGATTTAAAGATTTATATTATAATTTAAAAAAATAAAAATAAAGAAAGATAGTTACTTGTCAACGCTGTTTCCAGTTATTGCAGTTGAATAAACGATAGGTGCCCAATTAAGGATACGCAGCTTTGTTCTAACATCTTCCTCATAATGTAATGTTGTTTGTTGGTTTTTATTTGGAATTGTGTCCCACTTGTTGACAACAATTAGACAACCTTTTCCTTCCTTTTCTATCCTTTCTGCAATCTTGTAATCCTAAGTACAAGTCAAGAATCCTTTCTTATCAGGATTTCAGTTTTCTAATTGATTGTAAAGGTTGGTGTTTTTTTTTAGTAGAAAAAATTACAAAAATGGTCCCTGTACTTTCAGATTTTAAATAAAATTTTATTATTTTTCAGTTTTGGTCCTTAATTCAAGGTTTCATATCGATTTTGGTAATAAGAACCAATGTCAATATGAAGCCTTGAATCAAAGGATCAAAACTGTAAAAATCAGAAAGAACAGGGACCATTTTGTAACTTACTCTGTTTCTATATTATGTTTAAAAACAAGGTATAGTTTAATACTACAGGATATATTATTTAATTATAATTACAGAACTCATTCACAATTTTTATATTACATAAAAAAAAATCTAGTTATTTTTAGAAAATAATCATGAATATATAAAATATTAAAATTTTATAGATGAAAATGGGTTATATTACAATTTTGTATTCCAGTGATTATGGAATGAAAAAAAAAATGCCCAGGAAAGAAAATTAACATGGAATGATTCAGATTTCATCAGAAATGGTCAAAACTCCATTCCATCGGGCAAAACAAACAGTTTTTTTATTCCAATGGAATCAACCATTCCACTCCTCCGATTCCATCATACCAATGGAATGAACTTTTCCATTCCATTCCATTGCATTAAATGATGGAATAAAAAATAAAAATAAAAAAACAAAAAAAAAACAACTATACCCAAGGAAAGAAACTAAAAAACAGAAGGATTAAAAATCAGAGTTCTTCATAAATGGTCCATTCGATTCCATCAGGCAAAACAAACAGCTTTTTTTTCATTCCATTCCTTCTCTGATTCCATCATAACAACGGAATGAACTTTTCCATTCCATTCAATGATGGAATGAGAAAAAAAAAATCAACCATCCCTAACGAAAGAACATTAACAAAATGAAATGATTCAGATTCCTTCAGAAATGGATCCATTCCATTCCATCAAGCAAAACAAACAACTTTTCTCATGCCAATGGAATCAACCATTCCATACCTGTTCTGTGATACATGCCAAAGCCTCAATAACAAGAGCTACCACATCAGAACGCCGAATTGCACGAAATGCTCGATTAACAGACAAAGCCTCTGTTGTACTCCCTGATGAAGCTACTGCTGCCCTTTTCCTAATCCCAGCAGTATCAATCAAACGAAATTTCTGCAAAATTTTTTACAAACAAAAATTTAAAAACCTTAAATCTGAATACTTATTTAATTATTAAAAAAATTAAAAACAAAAACCTGGCCATCTGGTCCTTCAAACTCAGTGTCAATAGCATCACGTGTGGTTCCACTAACTGGACTAACAATTGTTCTATCTTCACCAACTAAAGCATTGAGAATGCTGCTTTTCCCAACATTTGGTCTTCCTACAATTGAAATTGAAGGAATGTAGTTTTCGTCTTCTTCTTTGTTTTCAACATTGGAATCCTGTGTATGTATAAAAATCATTAATTGTATAAAAATAAATTTTGGTAAGTGGTGAAATTTGAAAAATACCTCGGTTTTTCCTAAGCCTGTGCAAACAAAGTCAAGAAGCTCACCGGTTCCTGTTCCAGAAATAGCTGATATAGGAAGTGGTGTAAATCTGAAAAATAGTTTAATTAAATAAAAGATAATGGTATTATTATATGAATATGATTGAGTTTTTTATGTTGTTAATCTGAAAACTAAGGTAGTGTTTGGTATGCAGTAATCGGAAAGGGAATGGAATGAAAAAATTAAAATCAAGGCTGTTTGCCACATAGGAATGGAATGGAGCATTCCTAAGGGGTGTTTGGTTTGAAGCATGTAGATGTATTTAAAAGGATATGGATTTAAAATATTACAAAATTCATTATTTGGTTTAAAAAAGATAAATTTACAAATCCCAATATTTTAGGATAATTTTATGTTTATATGGTTTGATAAATCCTCCTTATGCAGCAAGCTTTTTGTTATTAAAAAAAGAAAAAAATGAGTTTATTGCCCAATGCTTATGTATCCTGTCTCTCACTACAAATTTTAAATCATTCTAAATCCAAATCTTTTGAATGATTCAAAATCCCTGAAAAACAATCCCAAAATCCAAAAGCCCCTATACATTCTATTATTAGCAAGAAAAGAAGCAGAGCTTACCCAAGAGACCAAAACTCTGATGCTTGCATTATTCCTTTGCGTGGAGACTCACACTTATTAACAGCTAATATAATACATTTATTTGAATAATTCTTTCTGAGCCAATCTGCTATTTCCACATCAGCTGCATTCAAGCCTACCTGTTCAGAGTTAGTCACAAATCTTTTCAAAAGATTATTCTTTTATAATTAAATTACAATTTTGTTATCTAGAAATAACTGAAAGATATACTTTTTATAACTTGTTTGGGTTTTAATAAGCTTTTATTATCTATGTTTTTTATTTTGGTGAACAGAAGTTCATTAATTATAGACAAATTTGAAAAAATGATCCCTGTGTTTTTACATTTTACGTGGCTAAGGTTCAAATGTTTGAAAAGTTGCAGATTTGGTCCTTTTCAACAAGTTTTGTTGTCGTTTTGGTCCCTCTTCCGTTAACTTTAACTGGTTGGTTGTTAATTCTATTAAAATGACAATTTTACCCTCATGGACCATTTTTAAAAGAACCAACCGGTTAAAGTTAACGGAAGAGGGACCAAAACCACAACAAAACTTTTTGAAAAGGACCAAATCTGTAACTTTTCAAACGTTTGGACCTTAGCCACATAAAATGAGAAACCACAGGGACCATTTTTGCAATTTTGTCTTAATTATATTATAATCAAAATAATGTATAAAATAAAGTTAAGAATAATATATTGTAATTCTACATATAATATAAAAAAATTATATGAACATTCATTCCATTCCTACAGACCAACCAAACATGATCATGGAATGTAATGACCCATTCCATTACCATTATCATATCCATTCCATTCCATCCAACCAAACAGACCCCAATTGAAATCAATACAAAAAAAGCATAACACGTAAAGATTCAAGTAGAATTAATATTGCCAGTTTATGAAAAATACCTGTCCATCAACTACAAATATGATGACTGATGACTCTTCTACAGCCACAGTAGCTTGCCTCTCAATCATTGAAGGCATCCTGGCAACAGCAGCCTCTCTGGAAGCAAGTGGAATACCTTCCATGCCAATTGTTGTTGAGACAGATAATTGTTGTTCCATAACATCAGTTTGTGACTTTGAAACTTTGAGAACACCTCCTGTGTCAATCATCATAAATTCTTTGTCTCCCCAAAAGGCTCTACCATATAACCTATCCCTAGTAACCCCAGGTTCATCGACCACTATAGCCCTGTTTCCCTGTAACAGAGATAAAAGTTTAATTTATGACAAGATATACAATCAGATAATAGCTAACAGATATAAGAAAGTATAACAAAAAGGATAAAGAGTAGAGATTTATATACCCCAACAAGGCGGTTGAATAATGCTGATTTGCCAACATTTGGTCTTCCAACAATTGAAACCTTTGGAAGAAGATGATCAGGTATCTGCATTGAGTTGAAAAGAAGATTGGTTAACATACTGAACAAGAAAGTTTATTAAATGTATTTGCATCAGGTCCTTCAAGAAGAATACCAATTTCTAGTCATGATTGAAATCTATTTATTCATAGTTAGAACCAAATTTAAGACCTTTTTTTGTTTTGGAAAGGGGAGAATGGAGTGTTTTCAAAATTCCTGGATAAGACCCTCAATGTAAATCAACTAATCTAACAAACTTATAGATTACTATAGAGGGTATATATAATTGACTTTGGATGAAATGCATCTGGTGTTTGAGAAGACAAAACAAGAAACTCATTATTGAGGATAAGGCATCTTTCAGAAATGGATACCTCAATGGTAGATTATGCAAAATTTAGCATTTCAGCTAGGATAAACTTTGGGTCACAAGAAGTATTTCATTCCTGCTCATGTCTACTACTTATACCATTTCAGGAATAGACTTGCTACTAAGAAGCAAAATAACAATCCCACACAGAGCAATATCCTCAGGATTCAGCAAATGACAAGATCACAAGATAGTACATAGGATATGGTAACTCACATTCACGACTTTGATACTTTCACGCATCTTCCTTCTTCCACGAGTTTCTTTTTCACCAATCGGCTCCTCTTCTAAAACATGAGAGAATGTCAATATCTTTTCAATCAAAATTGAACTAGCAAGTTAATTAAAACACAAGCACACAGGTTCCAACTGAGAGATGAATCAAGTTATCACGAGTAATTCCATATATATACTTTTCTAATAACTTGAAATTAAATTTGTAATACTAAGATTAACCAATAATTAGACAGAATTGTCATTTTAAAATGTAAACCCTACGGACCATAAATGAACAACAAAAACACGCACCGATTTTCAATTCCTTAGATAAAGAAAGCGAGAATTCACGAACGGCCATTTCCGCCTCCACTTCGAGCTCATCCACATCCAAGTTTTCATCACTTACATCTTCAAAATCAGACTCCACATCATCTTCAATTTCCGCTAACTCTTCGTCTATTGCTTCAAACTCTCCTTCAGATTGACTACACGATGGAATAGTGGCTTTACAACGGCGGCGGTGAAAAGATACGGCTGATAGACACAGAGATGGATTGGAGGAGGAAGTTGGGAGAAAGAGCGAAGAAGATTGAGAGAATCTGGATACTGGAGCGAAGAGAGAAAGAATTCTAGAGAGAGAAACATGTGAGGATACATCAAGAGATGACATTGATTCAAATTGTGTAGAAGAAGAAGGAAGAAGAGGAAGTTTGGCGGGTAATGGATACGAGTGATACTCATTGAGACAGAGGTTTATCTTCTTGTAAGTTCATGGTGTCCGGTGTATGATAAACATATATTTGCTAAATTACGCACTATGTTAACGTCTCCATGTTTTATGGGCTGATACTTTGGGCTTATTAGGTTTGGGCTGTTCCGAACGACATAATTAAATATTAGCCTTGTGATATTAGTCTTGGAATCTTGATAAAACAAGGGTAGGTCAATGAAAAAAATGTTGACACTTTCGTATATTTAATATGAAATTTTATTATATAACAACCAACATTAACAAACGTTTATTTTGGACATTAATGTCTTCATTGTATACTTTAAAGTCATAATAATTGAATTTTTGGTAAAAATTATCATATTTTGGGATAGTGCTGGTAAAAACCGATACGACTTGTAAAACCAACACAAAATAAACGGATTTATATAAGATATTTCAACATGGTTAAGTAAACGAGTTGACACAACAAGATACGGTAACACCCGATTTTTAATATCATGTACTCCTAAAAATTTCCTTTATAAAACATGAATCATAACTAACTCGATGTACGTTTATATCACAAATCAGCACAAGTAGTTATCAAGAGGATCTTACAATTAACTTCGTGTAAGAATCTAAGTTCAGCGCTACTAACTCTACTTTTTTCTACAAGTCTACTTGAACCTAAAAGACAGAAACACACACACAATAAAACAGTAAGCTACAACGAGCTTAATGAATAACCAAATTAATAAGATATAAATTAGTTACATAACTGAATATATCGTCACATTCAACCACATAATCCTAATGTGTCTTCTAATCATTCAATACACAGTACGATATTATTGACACCAAGTCTACCATTTATTATTTATAATAGACTTACAACCAAGCAATCTAATGTCAATTCCAATTAACCTCTCCTTATAGTAATCAATACTACATATATTACAAACTCATCCAACCAACATTTCTCGTACTAGCATCACATCCATTCAAACTTTCACTACAATATATTCTTTTGTGAGTATACCATTTCAGCCACCAAGGTTAGTATTAACTTACAATTCTCCATTGATAATATTACAGCCACCAGGGCTATTATCATAATATAGTACTAACATACAAGCATTTATACATCCTCATAATCCCGTAGTGTTACAGTCACCAAGACCACCACTAATAACTGATCCTATTACTATGGTGTTACAATCATTAAGACCACCACTAAGTTAGTCTATGATATTACGGATACTAAGACTATCATGACTAACAATATTCGTTTATAATGATATATTCAACACGAAGCATACCATTACAATCAACACTTGCATCAAGGATAATACAGTGGTAATTACAACACTAAGCATACCACTAACAACTGATTCCCATATAGCGGTAATTACAGCACCAAGCATGCCACTAATTCTTTTTTAAACAATTATAAGTATAGCATTATAGACACCAAGTCCGCCATTGACTTATATTCTCCAAATCATGGTATTACAATCACCCAGACTACCATCTCTTTCTAATAACTATCGACAAGTATAGTGTTAAAGATATGAAGTTCGCCATTGACTTGTATTATTCAAATAATGGCATTACAGTCACCTAAACTTCCATTTATTTCAAACTTATAGACTCATAGTACAATACCACTTTTTTATATAATTTCATAAACGTATACAACCTTATCATACCGCTTTATGGTTAACAAGACTACTATAATCTAACATATATTTATACACTATCAGTACATCAATATTATACCACACGATATGTATACAATTTCCTTCACCAAACTATCTATATACATTCCATATATATAAATTTTCTGTTACTCGTGGCCATAAATAGATTCACCAATACTCCACTACTCATAATCAATAAACTATATTAATTCTTAAATCTATACACTTATTTATAATGCAGCTCAACCAACTCATTATTTCACAGAGTGATAACCAACTATTAAGTTCAATCATATCTATTCACCACAAATCTTAATCACTCCCAGTCTTACAAGTTCTAATCCAATAATTCATAATATTGTATTTATAACAAAATTAACGCAATAGAATAATAAACATACATCTAGAAAAGAAGTGTGGTTATCCACATGAGTAGCCAGTGAAGACTAACTATCATTATAACCTCCAACTCCGTGTTGCTTTCCAGTTCTTCACTTATTCATACCTATTTGGACAATATATCAAGTTTACTAGAACTTGTCTAATCTCACCATATATCAACCATAGTGACAAATTACTAATCGCTAACTATATTAGGTAATTATTTGTAACCAAACTAGTTAAATTTCCATACATAATCACCTAACAACTTAACCTCGTAAGCCTTTAACCCAATTCAAAAATCTCAGTAAAATAGGATGTATAACCCTTACCGACCATATTAACACTAATCACCAGGTTTCATGATAACACCATATTATGAAATCTCGTAACACATTCATGGTCTAACAACCCATCACAAAACACTACGTAAGCATAATTATATAATAGGGATATAAAAATACATCGATTCATCTCGTAGCTTAACCAACATATCCTTGTATCCCCGTACACTAGTACAACACTACGGTAATAAGCCTCCAGAAATGCATACAAAGTCTGTATCCCAATTGTGTGTGCCAAAACCATCCAAATGAAACAAATCGAGAATATTTATACTTCCTGGTCGATGTGTCGCGGTCACGTGTTGTTCTCAATATCTGCCACATATTTTATTCTTTCAGCATGTATCATTCAACAGTCAACACATGTCTCATGACTCTGATCGCTATCATGTTGTGTAAGTTAATCTATGTGTCATGATTATGTTGGTTCTATATGCTCAAGAATGATCATAAAATAATATTTTTGATAACATATCATCCTATATGGTCACCGCCGATAACAAGTAGACACCAATGGATCATTTTATGTAATGAATTTGATTCATAGTGAAATGTCATAACTATTGCATATATTATTTTGTTAAAAATAATATTATATATTAATTTATATGTAATGAATTAGTTTACGTGTGTTAATTACATCATTTAAAGGTTAAATGGTTTTAATAAATTGTATAACTTTATTTAATGTAAAAGTTAAATTTATATATATATATATATATATATATATATATATATGTGTGTGTGTGTGTGTGTGTGTGTTATTTAAAAGGTTTGGAGTTCATATTTTATAAACAGGTTAAAGTAACTTTTATAAAATATAAAAGTAAGAGTGTAATACACTTTCGTACTCTCTCTCATCTTAAATTTTCGTTCACCCACCTTCTAAGGAGGTCTAATAGGGTTTGCTTTCCCCTTAGTTCCTCCAATGTAAGCTATTGAAAGGTTCAAGCTTAAGAACTTGTATTTTGCAAGAGTCGGACTAACATTTGGTAGTGTTGGAATTTTGTTGGTGGATTATTTCTATAAATAAAATCTCGATTTCCTTCTTGCCATGTAAATCCATGTCCCGAATTGTTTCATATTCAAGTGTGGGTGATGTAATTTAGATGATCTGGGTGTTTGGTTTGTGTTTTGGAGTCAAAGGGTATTTTGGTAAAGTGTCAACTTAGTCTTTTATGGAAATTGCATTTTGTTCAGGAAATCTTAAGGTATGTATGATTTGATAAAAGCGTAGAGCTTCTTGTTACCTTTTCGTGGATATAAGAATCGTTGAAATCAGATTTATAATGAAGAAGTTATGGCCTTCAGAGTATTTAAGGGTTTAAGGGGAAACCTTAGTACACGGGGCGTACAAATGCAAAGTGTAGGACGTTAGGTGTACACTGGTGTACGCTTAGCGTACCAAGAAGGAAAGATCGCGAAGCCTCGTCCTCATATGATGGGCATACGAGGAGTACGTTGGGCGTATGAGGAGTGAAGGAAACCCTAATTTAAGTGTGTTATACCCTATTTAAGGACCTTAATATATATATATATATATATATATATATATATATATATATATATATATATATATATATGCTATTTAAAAGGTTTGGAGTTTATATTCTATAAAAAAGTTAAAGTAACTTTTATAAAATATAAAAGTAAGAATGTAAGACACTTTCTCACTCTCTCTCCTCTTAAATTTTCATTCACCCACCTTCTAAGGAGGTCTAATAGGGTTTGCTTTCCCCTTAGTTCCTCTAATGTAAGCTCTTGAAAGGTTCAAGCTTAAGACCTTGTATTTTGCAAGAGTCGGACTAACATTTGGTAGTGTTGGAATTTTGTTGGTGGATTATTTGTATAGAGGAAGTCTCAATTTCCTTCTTGCTATGTAACTCCATGTCCTAAATCATTTCCTATTCGGGTGTGGGTGACGTAATTTAGATGATCCGAATGTTTGATTTGTGTTTTGGAGCCAATGGGTATTTTACTAAAGTGTCAACTTGGTCTTATATGGAAATTGCATTTTGTTAAGGGAATCTTAAGGCACGTATGAGCTGATAAAAGCGTAGTGTTTCTTGTTACATTTTCGTGGATATAAGGATCGTTGAAATTAGATTTATAACCAAGAAGTTATGGCCTTCGGAGTATTTAAGGGTTTAAAAGGAAACCCTAATACACTGGGCATACATAGGGAGTACACGGGGCGTACTAGTGCGAAGTGTAGGATGCTAGGCGTAAACTGGTGTACGCTTAGTGTACCAAGAAGGAAAGATCGCGAAGCCTCGGCCTCGTATGATAGGCATACAAGGAGTATGTTGGTCGTATGAGGAGTGAAGGACACCCTAATTTAAGTGTGTTGTACCCTATTTAAGGACCTTAAGTTTCAAGAGTTGACCTCTTTACCAACCCCCAAACCCCTAAAACACTAAATCAATCCTTAAGCCTTCTTTGTGGTGTTTTGAGCTCTTAAGCAGATTTTGGTGGTCATTTTGCCCTTTGTGAAGGAAGTAAAGAAGATTGAAGGTGCTTTACTTGGTGAGGAGCCTTTAGATCCAGAACCATCACCCTTGTTGCAAGACTTTGGAGGTATCAAGTTCATACCTTGGCTTGTAGATGTTTAGATCTCTTTATGGCTTGATTTGTTAT